CCACTAAAAGAACATCCCTTACAAAATACATAAAGCATAAATGTACGGAAGAAGAATTTGTAGTAAAATCTCTTCCAGTTAGAGAAAACTCAGCCAGTTTATCTTTTACGGTGGGAATGGATTTTAAAAATTTAGAATTAAAGGATAGTAATTTTTGGCCTGAAGGCCTAATTATAAAAAACTTTTATTTTCGGAACTTTTTTCGTCAACAAAATCAAACCCAGCAACGCCTAAATAATAAAATTCAGATATTATCTGTATTTCAGAGCACAGACAACTGAAAAGTTGGCATTTAAGAGCCTAAATAATTACATCTTAAAAAGTTTATTTTGTAGAAGTATCTTTTGGTACTGTATTTACTTCAAGGAAGAAATAATAGCAGAAAATATGAATGTGAAATCAATAGAGAAGATATGCGAGTGTTGTGTAATTAAGTGCCCTCAATATAATTTGTTTGTTGTGTGCGTTTATAGATCCTCAAATTTTTTGGAATTTTTATCAGCCTTTGAAAATGTTCTTCAAATTTATATATAAAATTTGACCTAATAAAGAAACATATTTTAAAAGAGTATATAGTGAAGTTAATATTCAAAAGTTTATTAAACATTTATCAGAACTCGATTGGGGTCATGTATATAGTTGTCTGCTTTAATGTATTCCATAATATTTTTCAAAATGGTTTTAATAATTATTTTTCGAAAAAAAAAATGTTTAAGGAAGGTATTAACATAAATAAAAACTTTTGGATTAATGGTGAAATAAGAGAGCTCTCTAAAACTAAACGTGAATTACATCAAAACATCATAAACTGTAATTCAAGGGTATATCCAACACTAAAAAATAGATACGATTCTTTATGTAAACTATTAAAAAATAGGATATGTTTTGCTAAATTTAACTATAACAAACAATGAATTGAAAATGCAAAAAATAATCAACAACAAATGTGGAACCTTATAAATCAACCTCAAATGGGTTGGAGTTACTGTCAAACCCTGTAGATTTAAATAATGGTGTCCCCCAAGGATTAATCCTTGGACCTTTACTTTTCATATTGTATGTAAATGATCTGATAACAAGTGATGTAAGTGATGAAAAAATATTAGTTTACCAAGGTAAAAATCTTGAAATGCTGACTTAGACTTTATAAAGTCAAAGTTATAACTTTATCTCAAGAAACCATGTTTGATTGGTTCAATAAAAATGGAATGAAAATAAATTTAAACAAAACCCAGTACATTAAGTTTGGAGAGTACGGATTTTCAAATGGGCTTCCAATTTATCTTGAAAATGGTTGAATTGGGTTCGTCCACAGACCAGAACAAATGGACGGCGCATTGCCATTCAATAACAATGCTTTGTTTGCGGTCAACAAACGGTCACAGTCGAAGCGTCAAATTGGAGATAGAATTTTATGTTTTCTTCCAGTGACGTCAACAAACGGTCACAGTATAAGCATTAAATTGGCGATAGAATTTTATGTTTTCTTCAAGTGACGTATTGGGATTAAAAAAATAATAAGTAGGTAGGTACTTACAAACGATATTTCCATGTATAGTTATTTTTAGTAAAAAATAATGTATTTAAACTCCATAATTAACTTAAACACAATAGAAATACACAAACGAAAACACAAAACAACAAGCTGTCAACCTTTTTCTATGCTGTCAAATATGACGAATTTACCAACGTTGTTAATATTTAATTTTAATAATTATTAAATGATTTACTTTCTTTAAATAGAGAAAAATATCTAAAGAAAATGATGAACAAATCCTTTTTACAATTTTTTTATTATTCAAACGAATTATTAATGTTCATTATGTTATGATGAACGTCCAAAAAGGCGTGTAATCTATACTTTTGACAACGTTGGAAGCCGTGTTTCTTTCGACGGTGTTTAGAATGTGAAACTATGCTTTACTCGCTTTTTAAACGTAAACAAATCCGTCCATTTGTTTTGGTGGTCTGTGGGTTCGTCAGTAAAATTTTTGGGTATAATCTTAGACAACAAATTTACTTGGAGAAAACAAACAGAAAATGTCTTAACCAAAATAAATAAATTTTATTATTTGCTACTAAATTTAAAATGTGTTGTACCAAAAAATGTCTTGTTAAGTGTCTACTTTGGATATGTATATTCGAATCTAAGGTATGGCATTATTTTTTGGGGGAATTCAGCTCATATATCGGATCTTTTTATTTTTCAAAAAAAATTTATTCGAAGTATATTTAATCTTAAACCTACAGAATTGTGCAAACCTATTTTTGTTTCAAATAAATTACTTACTTTGCAGATATTTATATTTTTGAACTTTGTGTATTTTATAAAAAAACTATATGTTATTTGATCAAACTACTCGTAATCACACTTACTTAACAAAAAATAAAAAATTATTATTAATAAAACAAACGAAAATTAACACTGCCTATAGTGTTATTTCTAATCACGCCTTACTTTTATATAATATGCTTCCTAATAGCCTTAAAAATCTTAATATAAAAAAATTTAAACCAGCATTAAAAGAATATCTAGTAACTAAGTGTGATAGCCTAAATGGATTTTCGTAAGTAATATCATAAGGGCATTTAATTTTTCCGAAAAGAATCAAAAAAACACGTTGCTAAGTGATATTTTAACAAAAAGCATGAGTGCTGGTGGCAACAAAAATTCGAGTCGAAGAGGAGGATTTTTGCACCTGCACGAATGCTTTTTGTTAAAAAATATTACTTAGCATTGTGTTTTTTCGATTTTTTTCACGGGAAAAATTAGATGCCCGAATGGTATTTAACAATTAAAATATAAATTGCAATTTTTGGTGACAACAGCTGTCAAGTTTTGCCGCGGGTAAACTCGAAAAAACTGCTGACAGGTGCTGTCAGACAGTTTTTTCACCTAGAAACCATTTGTAATTTAAAATTGCGCGTTTGTGATTGGTGGAAATTAAGACGAGGGAAATAGTCAATATAAATCTTAAATAAAATGTATACTTTTTATACTCTGTATTTGTTAATAATATTTAAGCAAGTGTTAATTTAATATTATATCTACATATAGGTTTATGTGTTTTATATTTTGATTTTAAAGTTTTTTTGTTCTACATGTTCTTTTTTGTAACAAAAATGATGCTGCTTTGTGTCAAAAAATTACAAAAAAAATTGTGCACTGGAACTGGCGTTTGTGTCATAAGGCCTAAAAGTTAGTATATTATTACGTATAAGGGTCATTCTCACGAAAATGTTCAATTTACTGTCCCTTATGAATAAGTTGCATTCTAAGGGCAAAATATATATTTTTTTGTCTCCCGTCAAAGTCACTATACAATTCCAATTTTCTTAACTATAAAATTAATCTTTTAACAACAAAAATATATATAGTACGTAAAATACCATAAGTTTTTTTATTTTATTTAAAAATATTAATAAATGTCATTTATATTCCCACAGAGTGATAAGTGTCCATGGATCATTTCGTCGTTTATCTGACAAAGAGGCGTATCTCATTTTTAAACAAAACGGTGTGAATTGAATTACGCCAGTTTGTACGGCACACAAAATGCAAAAATATTAGTTACGCCGAAACTGCTTTATGCTAAAACTTTATTTGTACCTATTTATTATAGAGCTACGCCAGTTTGTAAGACTATAAAGTCGATTTTGGTGATCATTCTGGTATAACTCAAAAACGAATTTTTTTGAGTTACGCCTCTTTGTTAGATAAACGACGATTTCATCACCTCCGTTAATATATACTTAAATTGTAATAAAATATCACAGATGGCTTTTACGTTGACTGGTATGTGTTAACCTAAAATATTAGTTGCTGTTTAGTTAAATTTTTATTTAGTGACAGATTATTTTATGTTTTTTGAAACATTTTGGAAAATATTAAGTATTAATTGCTCTGACGCAATTAGATATTAATAAGTATAATGACATGTTCAAATAATATGAACAGGCATGCGTTTATATGGTCTGGGACCCGGGTCTTTATAACCAGTAGACAGGTCAATGACGGGAAATTTGAATAAAAACCTCACTTCCGTTAATCTCACTGCTGTTAAAAGCTTTTATAACGGAGGTGAGACATGTTAACGTAAGTGAGGTTTTGTAGTATTCTGCATACAATACATATCGAGATTTTTTGTAGATTTGAATATAATATGGCAAAAAAAACAAAAGGCAGAAAATCTGACAATGAAAGAAGATCTCAAAATGAAAATTCTAAAATGTGCATGAGAAAATTGCGAGAAATGAGAAGAAATGATCCAGTTTTGTACGAAGAACAAAAACGAAAGGAAAGAGACAGATATAAAGCTAGAAAGGAAGCTAATAAAATAAAATCTATACAGGATCTCAGCGAAAGAGAAAAAAGGAATATTAGAAGAAAATGGAGAGAACGAAGTAAACGATGTTATGATGAAACAGAGAAAACCCGTGGAGAGACGGCTCCAAGAAAACACACCACCGAGTAGCCCTGTTCTTGATGAACATGCCATTGATCATGCAGTTAGGCCATCTAGACAGTCCATTGCAGGAAAACACATTCAAAGAAGAAACAGAATGCAAATGAAAAACCAAATAAAAATTTTAAAAGAAAAATTAAAAAAAGTCTGAAAAAAGAGTACAAGGGTATAAAAAGAGGCTTACCAGAAAGCAAGAAAAACTGCCCAATACACCAAATAAACGGGTTACAGAAATGCTTCGTGGCCAACAAATTACTCCAGAGGTGAAACGAAAGTTGTTATTAGGTGAAGCGCTCCAAGAGCAAATAAAAGCTAATTACGCAGAGAAACAAACCTTCAGTGACAAAAGAAATTTTGTCAATAGCATTTCTGGAAATATCGTTAAAAAGTACAGATTTAAGACTTTGGTAGGGTCAATTAGCTCAAAAAGATTAATTAAAAAAACTGTTCCTGGAGATGTCGCAGAAAATAAAAGAAAAGCATATTTTTATCATATTAAAAAAAACTGTACAAAAGTTTTTTGAAGACGACAAAATGAGCCGCATGTGTCCTGGAAAAAAGGACAAAGTTACATTTAAAAAGGTAAAAAAAAAACAAAAGCGCTATCTTAATGATAGCGTTACAAATATTTACAATGAATTTAAGAATTCTAATCCACAAATTAAAATAAGCTATCCTTCGTTCAGTAAATGTCGTCCTTTTTGGGTTGTGTTTCCTACTGCAAAATCACAAGAAACATGTTTTTGATAAGTAAACTAAAATCAATGAAAATTGTTAAATTGCTAAAGGAGATCTCTTGCGACAACTTGAATGAAGAATGTCTAGATAGAGTATGTGCTAGGTGCAAAGATAAGAAAATCACTGTCTTAGACTTTAACAAACATGATGTGGGAACTTATGAAAAGTGGAGTACTAAGAAGGTAGAAGTGATGATAAAAGGCGAAAAAAAGTTGTGTCAAAAATCTGTTAAAGAGGCGATAGAATGTGAAAAACAAGACATTATTCAACAGTTAAATCAGACACTTCCTAACTTTTTGGTGCACACGAAAAACATAAAACACCAGTACCATGCAATAGACCAAATAAAAAAAGTCTTGCCCTTAATGAAGTATTAATCCACATCGACTTTTCTGAGAATTATGCATGTAAATACGGCTAAGAAATACAGTCAGCACACTTTGGTGGGTCTAAGCCCCAGGTTTCCTTACACACTGTAATTGTCTATTATCGTAGCGATATTAGTGGTGGTACAAAAAACCTATCGATGTGTACTTTATCAGAAAATTTAAGACATGATCCGGCAGCAATTTGTGCGCATTTAGACCCAATCGCAAAAGAAATTCACAAAGTGGTACCAAATTTAAAAGTCGTCCATTTTTTAAGTGATGGACCAACTACACAGTATAGAAATCGAAAAATGTTTTACTTTATGGGGTAATTATATATCGAGAGTAGACTTTTAAGATGGCACTACAGTGAAGCAGGTCATGGAAAGGGAGCCCCAGACGGTATTGGAGGTTGCCTAAAGAGAATTGCAGATAATGTGGTAGGAAAAGGAAAAGACATCAAAAATTTTGACGTCCTTGTCGATCAACTAACGAAAAATTGTAAGGGAATCAATTGTATTCCAATTAACAGTTCAAATATATCAGAAAAAGATAGACTTTTGCCAGCAAATTTAAAACCATTTAAAGGAACAATGTCAATTCAGGAGTTAATTTGGAAAAAAGATAATGGAGGTATACTTCAAGCACGAAAACTCACCTGCTTACAATGCGAGGTCAACGAAACCTGTCCTCACTTTGTTTTTCCTATTTACAATTAAATACTGAAGACACAGACAATGACATCCAACAAAGTATCCTTTTACGTAATCTAAGACTAGGTTTTTTTACGATTATAATTTTATGTTTGTGGATTATGTGCATATTAATTAAATAAAAAACGATAACAACATTTTAAAGAACTCCAAAATACATATACTTAAAATGGTCGTTTTTGGGGAATATGTGTGCCTGTCTTAGACCGAAACGTTTGCCTTAAAATATTTTTATAATGAGGAGTTTGTTAACGTTATTAATGTTTTTTTGTTGAATTAATCTAATACCATTCATTTTGTTAATTATTGTTTTTTAATTCCTTAAGCCAAAATTAATTTTCAAAATATTGCTAAGAAGTTATTTCCTTATATTTTATTAGCTCCTAGTACGTCGAAAATAATCCGCAATCAACCAAGTCCTGATAAGGGTGGCCCTTCAGATTTTTTAAAGCGTCTTCATTTTTCAGATGTATACTCCGACTCTGATGACGAATTACCTGTTTCTTCATGGGTTGACAATCACAGTGATAAGGAAAACCAATTCCGAGAAAATAGTTTTTTCGTAAAGGTGGACGATTTTGTTGTAGTTAAACTGTGCAGTAAAATATCCTTTAAACATTTTGTTGCTTGCATGCAAATTTATGAAAAACTGCGGATTAAACCGGTTCAAGTTTCCCGAAAAAGATGACATTTCATTAATATTTCATAATGAAATTATATTGATTTTAAATACACCCACCCTTAATGATAAAAAACAGCATTTGTTTGATAAGTTGCCTAATCTTACTTTGTTTTAATATTATGTTCGTGGTCTGTGGTTCGTACCTTATTTTTAATTATTGTTTATGTTAATTAGTATTTATCAGCTAAGTTATTTATTAAAATGATTCTTTAACATTGGTGTATTTCTATAATATTTCCTAGACCTCACTCCTGTTAAAGTATCTCCCCCCCCGTTAATATCGAATTTAAGTTTTTGCAGATATTTTCTTAAATTTTTTTTAAGCTTTGAGCTTTTGGATAACTGATACATATATTCAACAACATACATATCCGATAATTTAACCCGTAACCGGTACGGTACGATTTTCAGGACATAAACGGTACTAAGGGGTCTGAGAGACACCTACCTTTTAAAATTGTTATTTATATTATTTTTTTTATCTAAGGTTTTGGGGATACTAGGGACTATATATAAAGTTAGAATATCACCAAAAATAATACCTAAATAAAAGAAAAATTTAAACAAATAGGTTTTAATCAAAACATGTACAAAAAGTGCAGTAGTGCAAACTTTGTGAAAAATAACTACTTCAAACTATAGCTAATTTTTACAAATATTTTTTCCATAGTAACTTTTTTCTTTTTTTTTTCAAATTCTTAAAAAATTTCAAATTCTTTACTATATGACCCTATAAAATTATTTTCTATAGAATCTTCACAGACAAGTCCTGAATCGCTGCTGTGATTATCTTCAACGACATAATCACTATAATGGTTATGTAGTATACTACAGTCATCTATAGATGCTTATGCACTTATATCGCTGTCGATTTCATAAAACCACTATAGTACAGTTTCCTTGAAGCCCTTCTTATCACTTTGGACACGTTTAGAAGGCCCTTGTTGCGAATCCATAACGAATTAATAGTTTTATAAAAATAACGTAAACGGTACGCAGTGGTCTAATAGACACCTCAACACTTTGACTCCTAATAATTTGTCCGTTTGACAATCCAACCTGTTCAAAGTCTAAGAGCATATTGATAACTGCCTAACTTAAAAGTATTGGAAGCGACAAATTTTTAAAACAAAAGGTGAGGGTGTGACACCGCTTTGTTCGTTGATGAGTGTCTACCAGACACCACAGTACCTGTTACGGGTTAAGTAAAATCTGAAAATTGCCCTGGTTGTAGTTAGTCAAAGTCACTTTACTACTACTGACCATATTAACACAATCTTCCAAATAATCCACTTATTTGTTTTGGTCAAAATACATTTTTCTAACCTTACAATACAAAATTAGATGATATTTTTTGTTATAATACATTAACCTACCTTTAATTTAGATATTCTTATTCCAAAATAAAGAAGTTAGATTTTTTTTAAATAAATGCCGTTTAGTTAAAAATATTTTAGACCAAATCCACAAAAATATTACTTATTTGGCACTATACACTTTAGAATTTCATTAAATGTAGTATTTATATTCCTAAATTCTTAAACCCACCATTGTTATTGTGATAATATGAAGATTTATTAACTTTTAACGCTTTTAAGCGTTTAAAAACATAAGCGGTAACAGTATTAATAATATTTCTTTCATTGACTATACTTTGACAAATACATAACCAAAAAAGCTTTAAATGCCAAATTTTCAAAAAACTGCGTTCCGTACGTAGTCACGTGGTGAGACTTTGAGGTGTGGAGCATAGTACACAAAATTGACAGACAAAATTTAGTTTAACCATTGTTTTTTATAAGTAAAACGGAGAAAACATGCTGATTTCTTTTCAGGAAATCCTACTACCCTTAAGAAAGATACAAATTCTAAACCACTTAGCTGGTTTCCCAAAATAGTAAAAAAAATTGTTAATAACTGTGTATTTTGTAAAACATCAAAACATTAATCGGCAAGTCATAAATTTAAATACCTACATTAAATTCTAAAAAATATCTTAACCATACTATTTGACATTTGATATTTATAGTAAATTATCTGGCAAAAGTGTACGTATTTGTAATAATTGATGCATTCACCAAATTTATATTTTTATATCGTATTTATTTTCTTACTGCTAAAGCAGCTGTTAATTGTCATTTGTGATCAAGGCACATATTTTGGTAGCAGCGAGTTGTTGCAAATTCAATATAGAATAAAATTGTATTGCTCATAGCATGCTCAGCTTATTATAATAACACACTATAGTGTACCTGAAGGGCAAGGCGAAGTCTTAATCGAGTTAGAATCTGAAAATGAGCAACAGGATGAGCCTGTGTCGGCGAGTACTACTACATTTTTATCTTTAATTAGTTTTAGTTTCTTAAGCGTTTTATTTAAGTACTAAAATATTGACGTATATTTTGTATACAATTCAATAAATAACACGACATGGACGGTTCTGTTTTAATTACATCACAGGGCGCCTTGAATTGGAAACCGCTGCTTTGTTAAATTAACCTTAACACAATTTTTTGATGTATTAATAATGATTTTTTTAGATACCTTATTTTATTAAACTTTTATAAATGCTATATCCTATAATTTAATACAATTTTGTTTGATATTTATAATCTTTATAAACTTTACATTTAAGCATTAAAATACCAATATACGTAATTGCTTCTCTACTTTAAGGATGATGTATGATGTCAATTTAAAGTCTAGAGACTGCTATATTGGGTCTTAAGTTTAAAGTGTTATTACCGAGTTAACCTAATATTCAAAACAAGTTTAAATAAAAGAAAATCTAATAATATAACTATCACCTTAATTTATTAATTTTTCCAAATTTAATCAGTGTGAATTTGCCATATAATTTCGTTTCTTGATATATTTTAAAAAGCATTTGGCATTGTGTTTTTACTTATACATTCTATTTTTTAAGAAAAACATATTTTCTGGCTCAAGAAAAATACACTGAAAGAAATATATGTTTGTTTTAGCAATGTATGTGGTAGTCTATATATGAAACATAAAATATATTTACCTTAACCATTTTTATATTTAGTTTTAACATATTATGTTAAAACTAAATATAATATATGTTTGTTTTAGCAATGTATGTGGTAGTCCATATATTAACCACATACATTTGCTAAAACAAACATATATTTCTTTCAGTGTAACAAAATATATTGTAATAATGTATTATTTAAGTTTTTGAAATTGCGGGGCATTCGGATAAAATTAATTGACATATTTTGAAATGGCTGGATTTTCCCTTTATTCTGTTTATTAACTAGGGAATATATATTTAGGTTTCCACAGGCGTTATTTGTATTAGTGGGCCCAGCAGATAAGACCTAAAGATGGTACATAATATTGTACTGAAACGTCATACATACGGGAACCAAAAACCACCAATACACAAGAATATATATATATATATCGTCGTTTATCTGACAAAGAGGCGTATCTCATTTTTAAACAAAACGGTGTGAATTGAATTACGCCGGTTTGTACGGCTCACAAAATGCAAAAATATTAGTTACGCCGAAACTCCTTTATGCTAAAACTTTATTTGTACCTATTTATTATAGAGCTACGCCAGTTTGTGAGATTATAAAGTCGAT